AGCCCCCTCTTCCTCCATACAGTCCGCACGAACCCCCTGCCCCCAAACCCAACCCACAGAATCAGCAGCTTCCAGCGGGCTCGGGTTTCGCGAGATCACTGACGAATCTGCAAAATCAAGAGAACGCCAAACTTGAACACGTGTATCACACAGCAGTGACGTCGCCCGCGGGTCTGACTTCACCCTCCAGTAGAACTCAGGTTACTCCTCCAAACCAGCAAATGGATTCCGCTTCACCCGCGTCCATCAGTCCCGCCCCTTCGACACAGTCACCCCCCGCGCCGATTTACAACTCGACTCCTGTTGCCCCAGCCATTAATCACAGCGTGGAACAAATGTGCAATCTTCTTTTGAAAGATCAGAAGCCAAAAAAAGCAAGGAAAATACATTTGTGAGTATTGCAATAGAGCTTGTGCAAAGCCCAGTGTGCTTTTAAAGCACATCCGCTCCCACACTGGTGAGCGACCCTATCCCTGCGTGACCTGCGGGTTTTCATTTAAGACTAAAAGTAATCTGTACAAGCACAAAAAATCCCATGCACATACTATCAAACTGGGTCTTGTCTTGCAACCAGATGCTGGGGGCTTGTTCTTGTCCAATGAGTCCCCCAAAGCACTTGGTATCCATTCAGATGTGGACGACAGTGGGGAGAGCGATGACGAGGGCGCTGCTGATGAAAGGCAGAACCAGAACCACCGGGGCTCCATGGACCTGCAGCCCGTGCAGATAATGAAAATGGTACCCAACTTGGTACCCAACTTGGAAGCGTTACCAAAATCAAGCTCCATTCCAAGCAACCCAGATCACATGGTAGGAGACTTTTCACTACGGGACAAATCTTCAGATTCACAGACTGTGGCAGACCTACCAAAGGTTGTGGTCCACCCCATCGGTGTGTCCCCTTTAAGAGTTGACAGCCCGAAGGTTACAGACTCCAAGCCTGAACTGTCTAGTGCACAGAAACAGAAAGACTTTCAGATAACCCGTGTATTGGCCCAAGCCTGGGCGCCCTCCCTGGAGACTGATGAGAAGTCTGGTCAGAAGGGAGACATGAGTCAGCCAGGAGGAAAACAGGAATCTCACGTGGGAACAGCCCACGCCCAGCTACAAAGGCAGCAGGCTACGGATTACTCTCAAGAGCAGCAAGGAAAACTTCTGAGTCCTCGAAGTTTAGGAAGTACTGATTCTGGTTACTTCTCACGTTCTGAAAGTGCCGATCAAACAGTGAGTCCACCAGCTCCCTTTGCCAGAACGTTACCCGCCGCAGAACAGGACTCTAGTAAGACTAACGGGCCCTCCACACCTCGTGTCACTGCACCAGCAACTTCTGCTCTACCAGCGGGTGAGAAGGCATCACCCCTCCCAGGCCAGATGCGCCCGCCCTTGGCAACAAAAACCCTTGAGGAGCGGATATCAAAGCTCATCTCAGACAATGAAGCCTTGGTAGACGACAAGCAGCTGGATAGCGTAAAGCCACGGAGAACCTCTCTCTCACGACGGGGGAGCATCGATTCCCCCAAATCTTACATATTTAAGGATTCTTTCCAGTTTGATTTAAAACCAATGGGACGGAGAACAAGCTCAAGCTCTGATATACCAAAGTCCCCTTTCACCCCCACTGAGAAATCGAAGCAAGTGTTTCTTCTGTCTGTACCTTCCCTCGACTGTCTGCCTATCACAAGAAGTAATTCGATGCCAACCACAGGTTACTCAGCGGTACCTGCGAGCATCATCCCTCCTCCTCATCCACTGAGAGGAAGTCAGTCATTTGATGACAAAATTGGTGCTTTCTATGATGATGTCTTTGTATCTGGACCTAACACTTCTGTGCCCCAAAGTGGACATCCCCGCACCCTCGTCAGGCAAGGAGCAGTCGAAGACTCTTCAACAAACGAAAATCACGTTCTGGCTGTCGGGCAGCCCTTGGACGAGAGCCATCAAGGATGTCCCACCACTGGTGAGACCGCAGCTGCAAGGAGCAAGCCCCTGGCGCCAGGCTCACACGTGGAAAAGAAGAAGTCTCATCAAGGACGGGGGACCATGTTTGAGTGTGAGACCTGTAGAAACAGGTATAGAAAACTGGAAAATTTTGAAAACCATAAGAAATTTTACTGTTCAGAGTTGCATGGACCAAAAACAAAGGTAGCTCTGAGAGACCCTGAGCACAGCCCTGTGCCCAGCGGAGCACCGCCCCCGGTTCTGCACTGCAGGGTGGCAGCCTCCACAGGGGTCTGGGAACAGACGCCCCAGATAAGAAAGAGGAGGAAAATGAAGAGTGTTGGAGATGATGACGAATCGCAGCAAAATGAAAATGGAGCGTCTCCACGAAGCTCCGAAGGCCTTCAGGTTCAGAGCACTCTGGGCTCTGCGTCTAAACAGAACGCCACCGTCCCGGGTGACCCACAGCGAAGAAATACCCAACTGCAGAGCTCCCAGGTGCCACTTGTGGCCAGAGGCCCCGAGCAGACCCTGGACCCAAAGCTGGCAGCTGCCGTGGAGCAGCAGATGGACCCGGCCGCCCAGGACAAGGCAGAGCTGAAGAGGCACGGGGCCGGCATCTCCGTCATCCAGCACACCAACTCGCTGAGCCGCCCCAGTTCATTTGATAAGCTTGAGTTTTGTGAAGGCGCTTCTCCCATTTCTTTCCAGGAGCCTAGCAGGCCAGCGAAGCCCGGGTCTCTGAACGTCATGGGAATCGGCCAAGAGGAAGGCTGCCCTCCCCGGAGCACGTCTCACCCCCACCAGCCTGCGCGGCCAGGTGCCCCGAGAGCAGAACTGCAGGAAGGCTCAAGACGGATGTGCGCGGAGCGACACATGTTGGGACAGTCCTCAAGACTTGTTCGGCAGCACCACATCCAAGTCCCAGAGATCCTGGTCACAGAAGAGCCAGATCGGGACCTTGAAGGCCAAGGCCCCGAGCAGGACAAAGCAGAGAAGTTCAGTTGGCCTCAGCGGAGTGAAACCTTGTCCAAACTGCCGACGGAGAAACTGCCGCCCAAAAAGAAGAGGCTCCGTCTGGCCGAGATAGAGCACTCCTCAACCGAATCGAGTTTGGACTCCACTCTGTCCAGGAGTCTAAGCAGGGAGAGTAGTTTATCTCACACTTCGAGTTTCTCCGCCTCCTTAGATGTAGAGGACGTTTCGAAGACTGAGGGTTCCCCCAAAATTGACTTGTTGAATAAGGCCGAGTTTCTCGTGATTCCAGCTGGCTCTAATACACTGAGTGTTCCTGGAAGTCACCGGGAAATGAGGCGTGCTGCGTCTGAGCAGATGAGCTGCGTGCCCACGTCGATGGAGGTCTCCGATTTCAGAAGTAAATCATTCGACTGTGGAAGCATCACTCCACCTCAGATAGCTCCACTCAGTGAATTGCAGCCTTCAACGTCCCCCTCTGGCCCGGGAGTCCCCGGGCACGTGCCTCTCTTAGAAAGGAGGAGAGGCCCCCTGATACGGCAGATCTCTCTAAACCTCGCTCCAGAGAGTCATCTGTCTCCTGTGAACCCAGTGTCCTTCAAAACTGTTGCTCTTCCTGGTGTGAACACAGTGCCATTTCAGGGGCCTCAGCTTGCTAATACCTCTTTAGCTGAGTTTCCGGCAAACACTTTGCACCCTCAGACTCAAATTAAGGATCTGCGAACAGAAACTTCAAGTTCCAACTCTGCAAACATCTTTCCTGTTCAACAGCTTTTTGGTGTCAGTTTGTTAAATCAAATGCATGCGCCCCTCAGCCACCAGAACACACCGCTGTCTCTGCAGGTGTCTGCACAGAGTGGCAAGCCAGAGGCAAGCCTCACTGTCTGCGCATCTTCTAAAAATGAGGATTGCTTTGCTCCCAAGTACCAACTTCAGTGTCAGGTTGTCCCTTCGAGCCAGTCTTGTGCTTCTAATCCTGTACATCCTCTGCCAAAGCCTGTGCTTTCAGATCCAATAGGGGCCGAGCATCGTGCGACTTCGTTAACAATACCCACCAAGTTAGCAGAAGCCGCATCTAACTCGTGTCCTCTGCCGCCACTGAAGCTTGGGTCACTTGGTGGTCAGGGGCCGAAAGTGCCAACGTCATTTTCGCTGCCCGTGCACTTGCAGGGCCAGGTCTCGGCCTACTGTTTTGCCACAGTCACACCTCTGCCACAAATCCTAGTGACCCAAGATCTGTCCAGTCAGCCAATTTGCCAGGCTAATCGCAGTATGGTGCCAATCAGCGAGGAACAAAATTCCGTGCCAAAACTGCAAAAAGATCACCAGAATGCTTTGCCAGACCTGGAGGCAGAACTCATTTGCCCAAAAGTCTTTTCAGAGGTGGGCCAGAATTCTTCTCTCCTGGAATCCCTGCCCATAACTCAGAGAATCTCTGTTGGTAGACTTTCCCCCCAGCAAGAATCTTCTGCTTCAAGTAAAAGGATGCTTTCCCCAGCAAATAGTTTAGACATTGCCATGGAAAAGCACCAGAAGCGAGCCAAGGATGAGAATGGGGCCGTTTGTGCAGCAGATGTCAGACCACGGGACCCACCAAGCTCCGGAGCCGCTGAGGTCAGTAAGCAGAGGAAGCCCGCCTTAGTGAGGCAGGTCTGCACCGCCGAGCCCCTGGACGCCGGCGTGTTGGAGCAGGATGTCTTCTCTCACCCGGAAGTCAGTAGTGAGGCTGTTCACTTGACTAATGTTTCGCCAGCTGATAATCTGTCATCAGGACACTCCAAGCCCCTGGTGACAGAACCTATAAAAGAACCGCAGGAATTTGAAAACATTAAGTCAGCCACATCACTGGTGCTTACAGCGAGGAGGTCGCCTGTCCCTGCAGAGAACACTCACATCTCTCCTGTGGAACGGGTAGACCGCAGCTGGGACGGGGAGTCTCCAGGGGTTAAAAATGCAGGTGGCACGGTGGACATCCAAGAACAGAGTCCGCCTGCAGCCACTGCTCCTTCCGTGGGTGAGGCCGGAGACCCTCAGCAGCTGTCCTTCCCCAGCCTGAAGACCGCCACCAGCTTCACGTGGTGTTACCTCTTAAGACAGAAGGCGCTGCACCTGCCTCAGAACGACCCGAAGACCTCGGCCTACACTGACTGGACAGTGAGCGCCGGTAACCCCAACCCACTCGGTTTGCCTACGAAAGTTGCTCTTTCTCTCCTTAACTCAAAACAGAAGACCGGAAAATCACTATATTGTCAAGCAATAACTACCCACTTCAAATCAGATTTATTGGTCTATTCAAGCAAGTGGAAAAGCGGCTTAAGCAAGGTACTTGAAATACCATTTATCTTCAAAAATAGTTTATACAAGTTAGTTTTAACATGTCTGAATGCTTTTCAGTAATTCCACTGGAAGTTGTATTTTAATTTTGAATTTGAAAGAAAGAATGATAAGGGTACCAGGGAGTTCTACCGGTAAAGGTTACCTGGAGTCCTGTCAGTGATTCCATCCTGAAGCATTTTGAAAATGATAACTTGCTTTGAGCACTTTTTTCCCATTGGCTGAATATTTAAATCTTTACTTAAAGGTGCAGATCATCATAGTTTTACTTTCATCTTTATGTGAAGGATTTTTCCTATTAGGTCAGAGAAGATTATGTTTTTGCTCAGTCCCTGCTAATAAACGGTGTGAATACTGAAGATTGTTATATTTCATTTTAAAATAAAAGCAGAGAGCCATCCAGACTTGTCTTGTGCAGACCGGACCACTCTGCCCTCACCATGCTGATCCAGCTCTCTTGCTATGTAGTTTAAGAGTCATCTTAGACCAGAGAGAAGATTCACAAAATGACCAGCTGTACACTTGATAATTAAGTTGATTTGGTCAAGATTTACAGAGTAAGCTCATAAAACTATAACTTTGGGTTATTTGTGGAATCATCAGTCTTATTCGAGTTGCTGGCTTTATAAAATGGGAAAAATCCTTTAAATGATTAAGAATTAATGAATAGGTAAGGGCATTAGTTTGGACTCTGGACATTCAGAGTCAAAGTTCTTGACCTCTTGAGGCTCACAAGCACAGAATACAGATTCTAAATATATACATAGTTATTTATCTACAAGAGAATGGCCTGGTGTCAGTATTAGACTAGAAGTGTATACAACTTTACAAGAAGGAAGACTTTCTGCCAGTAGCTTGAAGAGGTATGGATACAAGGCTGGTATTCCAGAAGTGTGATACTTCAGCTGAGTCTTATAAAAAAGGGGGAGGGATTTTTTCAGTCAAACAAGAATGAGAAATTTTAAGTCTGCCAAATGATATGGAAGTGAGAAAGAACTTGGTTCATTTAAAGAACCTTGAGGAGTCCAGTGTGACCAGAACGTGTTGGACATTTGAAACACTGACACCGAAGTTGGAAATGTAGGTAAAGACCAGAGAGGATGAGTGGTAGGAGGGAGCTATTGGGACTTCCTGGGTGAGGGAGGAGGGTGCATCCAAACCATTCAGAATTTAATTTTTAAATGCTCAGAATCTACAGCTACTAAGTCAGAGATTATGAGAATTTAAACAGAGTAAGAGTATGAGCGTGAGAATTTAAACAGAACTCAGGTGTGTGTATTCCTGAAGTGCCTCGTGGAAGCGCCCCGGCAACGCACATTTAGATGTGGCGCGAGGAGAGAGGTCTGGGTGGAGGGTGTCGGGTCCTTGAGCGCACGGATGCAACGAACGAGGTTGTCCAGGGAGAGTGTGAAGGAGAGAGAAGGGCCTGGAATGGATCCTGAGGCCACTGCTATTTAAAGGGCTGAATGGATGAAGGAAGCACATGGGGACCTGAAAGAGGCTGTTCACAGAGGAGGAAGGAGAACCAGGAGAAAGGGTGTCACACAGATCAAGGAAGAAGGTGTTTTAGGGAGAGTTGTTCAATCCAAGGGGTCAAACAAAGATGAAGACTAACGTGGTGTCTGGACTGAATGGTTCTCATACCACTGAGACTTGCGTCACATGGGCAAGTGGCTGTGGAAGACTGGCACTGGGTTGACTGTTAGCTCACAACCCAAATGTTGTGTTTATAATTCAAAATGGAAAAGAACAGATGGATGTTAACAGGTCAAGTGTATAGACTAAGGAAATAATAAAGATCTTGGCATTTAGCTCGTTGGTTAATAGAAGCCAGATTTGATAGCAAGAAGAAAGTGAGCAAAAAATCAGTGGGAATTTGGTATTAAGAAGAAGGTAAGAATAGAATTACTGTGACAGGCATAAAGGCAAGGAAAGGGGTGTGTGTGTGTGTGTATTTTCCAAATTGCAAGGAACCCAGATGTGTTTGCCAGAACAAGAGGAGACATAGCATTTGTGCCTGTCAGGGTCAGTGTCATTACCCCTTCACACCAGCTTTTTGAGACACAGGCCAGCAGCCTTTCTTTACTCCTGGCTTTTACAGACAGGACCTTGTCAGGGTATTCTTTCTGAGGCCACACAGGCCCTCTGTCTGTGATGCAGACACCCCCTCATCACTTACTGTCATGAAGTCATCCCAGTATGACAGCTGTCTACTTGGTGATGCAGTTTTTAAAAGACGTTTGTAACAAACAGATCAGGAAAGTTGTGCTTTGTGTTGGGTTTGGCCAGAGACTGGAGTTTGAGACTTTGCTGTTAACAGTTGACCTTGCCAAGTGACTTGACCCTGAGTGTGTCCTTCCTCACCAGGGTGTAATCCTGCTGGGCTGCCCGCCTCCCCAGGATATGTGAGAGCAGAGTTAGCGGAGGAGTGAGAAGGGGGGTCGTGAGCAGTGTGGCTGTACAAAGTCATGAGGTGGTGTCACCACAGTGTTCCTATAGGAAGAGCACACGTTGCTTATCATTTTGACGTTCATTACCTTTTTCTAGAGATTGATTGTTATCAGGCCAGGACCTAACTTCTGACCTGACCTGTAGTTCACAGTTATCAGTACTCAGGAACTTTTGAGGAAATACAGAGAGGAAACATAATGATGGTTTAATATAACGGGAGAAGGGGAGAATAAAACACTGGGGAACTGCTTTAACATCACAGCGCACGGATGTGGAGGGGGAGTTAGGCATGTTTCTCAGGAGTGTGAGACGTTGTACCATGAGGGGCCACTAGCCCTTTTCTGTCTCCAAAGAATAAACTCTAAAAAGTATACTTAAACAGTAGTATGAGTGGTTGGTAAGCTATAAGAAAGAAATATTAAGTCTACTTTGTAAAGTTCCTATTAAATGCATGGAATATGAGGGTGTAGAGGGTTGTAAAGTCTTTATTTGGGGGTGTCAGTGGACTGTGGTGGGATTTGAAAATAGCATGAGATCAGTTTGCTGAGATTCAGGCAAATATATTAAAGATAGAGGAAGAAATAAAGCAATAACCTTTAAAGCTGTTACTTCCTTGAAACACATTCCATTGAGTTAACTGTATGCACTGTATTCTGCCATGTTTTAATTTCCAAGTGAAACATTAGCATGTTTGTGTTTTCAGTTTTATTAAATTAGTGTCTCTTTTTTTTTCCCTTTCAGAGAGCATTAGGTAATCAAAAGTCCACAGTAGTTGAATTCAGCAATAAAGATGCCTCTGAAATTAACAGTGAGCAAGATAAAGAAAATTCCTTAATCAAAAGTGAACCAAGAAGAATTAAAATATTTGATGGAGGGCAAGTACAAATTTTACTTCTTAAATGTACATTTAAACTTACTTTTTAAATGTACATTTGCTTTCATGTGAATGAAGCTGATTTTATATAAATGTTGCAAGGTTTCTCAGCTTATTAACAGAATCTTCATGGCAAAATATATGTTAGGTATTATGTTAAATCCATTTTGCTCAAGAAAATGATAACTATTTAGGAAGCATTGCAGGTTCTAGGAGGCAGCTAAGCACAAAGTTTTCAGAGTGAACACTGGGTTTCACATTGATTTACAGTAAGGGATGACCTGGAAAATCTGCTCTAAGAGAGATGAATTCATTGCCTGTTCGATGTCTTTTGTGAATTTGGTTATGAGAGAAACAAATTGTAAAAGCCAACTGGAGTTAAAATGAAGCTCAGGAATATTTCAATAGAGTTGTGATTAAACTTAACAATAAAGAAAACTTTTAAACCAGTGACTTAGAGGAAACATTTTAAAATTAAACCTGGTATTGAATAATGTTGTTTTATTAAAATTAGCTATTAGAATATTAAGTGTTGAAGTTACTTATATGTGCATAAAATTTATATTGATTGGGTATAAAAATTGTGCCTTGTTTTATTTTTTAGGTTGAATTTTAATCATCAATATTTTCTCAAAGACATAGTATCCAACTGCCCTATTCATTTCTTTCTTTAAATTAGATATAAATCAAATGAAGAGTATGTATATGTCCGAGGCAGGGGAAGAGGAAAGTACATTTGTGAAGAATGCGGAATCCGTTGTAAGAAACCTAGTATGTTAAAGAAACACATACGAACCCATACAGATGTCCGCCCCTACCACTGCACTTACTGTAACTTCTCCTTTAAGACTAAAGGTACGAGTTGACGTCACTTCATGGTCCTTTATTATGTGCACTGAGTTAGTAGATCTAAGACCCAGCTTTACATAATCTTTGAGCAAGGATGCAGTAGCTTAAATAGACTGATGTAAATTACATCTTGTCAATGTCGTAGTCTTATTTCTTTGTATATTTCTAGACCTCTTGGGAAAAGTTTTTAATTATATGTTTTTAGAATATATGTAATAAATATGACATTTGAAAAGGGGCAACTGCCCTTTTTTATTTTACTCCCCAAATTATAATTGCATAACATGATGACTAATACATTTTCAAAATTACTTACTTTGGGGCTGAAGAAGAAAAAGAAATTTTCATGATCATAAGTAAATGCATTTCAGTACTAAAAGATGAAAGGAAAAATTAGTAACTACAGTAAAGTTATAATGATGACATTCATGTTTTATTATCTAATCTTGGGCATGCATAGCCATTTCTTTTCTGTGAAACTTTTTTAACCCAAATTCTCTTGAATTTCAGCTTCAAAAATTTTCTAACTTTTGTGCTATTTAATGTTTATAGAACTCAGAACTAGTAATTAAAATTATATTTAGTACTCTTTCTATATTCTTTATGTTTTTATTTAAATTGTAAGCCTTTATTATAGTTAAGGTAATTTTACTGTCTACAGATTTCCTGTTACATGTAATGAATACACTGTTATAAAACGTCTGCTTTCTCCACTAGCCTCCTTGTCGTGAATCATATAAAAATTTGCTGCTTGAGACTTTAATTTCATATACCATGCTTTAGAAAGTAAGAATGTCTCAAATACAAAGCAGTATAATCATAAAGCTATTTGTATGAAAGAACTATCTGTGAAAAATATTTAATCAATTTTTTTTAAAGAACTACTTTATTTTTATCCCCTTTAGGTTCACATTTGCTTTTTTCTGACTATATTGGTTGTCTTTGTAGTTTTTGTGTTAAAGATTGATCAACTCTTTAGCAAAATCTATTACTTTTTTTTTTGGCTAGTATTTATTGTCATTTAAAGAGAGTTATAGTATGCAGCAACTGGATAGCTTCAAATTAGCCAGTAGTACCTGAAACAAGAATGATGGGGAGAAACCAAAACTGTTCTTCAGACAGCCTTGACTATTTCTAAACAGTTTTAAGAAATCGTGAGTTGGGAGGAACCCTAATTCTGTCATTCTTGGATTGTGACATAGAACGCATTTCCTTCTGGAAACAGAGGGTGCATTTCAGGATGATTTTCCTGATCTTGTGTGAAGGCTTTGATAGGATTAAGTGCCATGATCTTTTAACCCAATTTATTGCTTTTACGCTGCTTTTGATTCTATGATTAAGAAATGTCTGTTAAATAATTTCCAGTGTGAGTAACAGGCCAATATTACAAATAAAAGATTACCAGGTACCGAGTGACGTCACCAAAAAAAAAGAAGATCAAGGTATAGTGTGAAATGGGTGTTTCTCAATAGATGGAGGAAGAGGAATCAGGATATTTTTAAAAGCATATTTATAAAATAAGGGCAAGAAAGGAAGCAGAACTTAGATGTGGGGAACCAAAGGAAACTGCAGGGATATCTTGGCAGAGAAAAATATTGTGAATCAATAAGTATTGATACTCATGAAAGATCTCAAAACAGCATCATGTAAAATTTTAGATGAATGTTTGTTAATGGTGGACAGGGCATAATGACTCTTGAGGGCGAGCATTGTAGGTTAGCAGTTTGCATGTCTTTCATTTCTCGAATATCTGAATTTACATTAAATGTTTTGTTTTGTCAGATAATTCACTGGAATTATGTGATAAGTACTTATTTGAAGAAAGCTACCCTAGCTAAGGAGACTGGTGAAGAAAATATTAGAAATTCATGGTTTTCCTGTTCTTGGCATGGCAGTTCTCCTTTTTATGGTCAGCTTCCTTGTAGAAGTCTGCCTTTTGTGAATATATGTAGGACAGAGTCCATAGTACCTTTTAAAGCTAAATAATAATAGACTTCTTTTTAGATTAGGCTGTAGGTTTTGCCCTACTCTGATTTACTTCATTGTCCCCGCCAGTTCACCTCTGCTCCTTACTGAATGTGTCTGGTTATTAACAGAAAGTAATAGTGATATAGCAACTTGCAGCAGATACGAGTATGCCGAGACAGCGTAATCCTACCAGAGGGATGGTCTCTCCTACTAGAAACCGATGCTTCTGGCGCTAATGCTTCATCATTTGTCCTCTTAGTTTACTTTATGAATACTTTTTCAAAATAATTTTAATTGATTTGTTTTCACAATTCTGCTTTAAAGGTCAGTCAGCAGAAAATGAACAGTGACCTTGCATCTCTGCAGGATTTCGTCCCATTTATATCACAGAAGGTGGGACTCTATATATAGCTGCAGGAGCCCAGAAACAAAATCTGTCATACTTTCCAGAGGATTTAGATTAATGCTTACTAAATCTGTTGAAAAATGTATCTGTTAATACACAGAGTTTAAAGCATTGCTAGGGGATATTTGCATTTTAATATGCATATTTTGCATAGTGAAATGCAAATTGTTTATTTTAAATTATTTAAGAAATTGGTTAATAATAAGTAATAGCTCAAGTTATGAGAAAATAATGCTTATTAAAAACTTATATTCCCAAATTTTCCTAGCTACAATTATACAGTAACTTCTTAGAAAGCAAATGATTTTCTACGGCTGTCTACTTAGGGAACAAAAGCATTTTGAAAGCAAGCTATTAGTGGACCTTGTAATTTGGTTTATAATATTGTCCTAATACTAGAAAGTGTTTTGACTTATAAGTGGAACTTTCAGCCATAAAAAGATGGGCAAACTTTTTTTTTTATAACTTTTTAGTGTGAAATTTTTGAAGCATACAGAAAAGTAGATATTTGTATAATGAACACCAATATACCCATCATCTTTTAATAATTGTTAACATTTTGCCATATTTGCTTTATATTTTATTTTTTTAAGTGTATTTAAAGTAAATGTCAGACATGGCCAAGCCACCTAAGCTGGGCGTTATCTCTAGAATCACAGCTGTCAGGGTTTGGTGGATCTTAGACGTTATCTGGTCTGGGCCCCTCTTACACGTGAACCTCTAAAAGCACCAAGCTCTGGGATGCTGTGCACACTGTCTAGTGCAAGAATTGGCTTGAACAGGTATGACCAGTTCCTGGGGCTTATTGCATATTTAGTGGAATTGAGGCTCTATAAATACGGCAGTTTTGCAGGTCCTTCAGCTACTGTAAGCTCAAAATCTGGACCGATGGTTCAGACATTTTTAGCTCTCCTGGAGGTTTATTCTGAAATACTAATTTGCCCCTGCTTGCCAGATTCAGCATTTAGATTTTGTTTATTTTCAAGAGAGATGATTTTCCCTTGGCAGTTTTCTGGGTGTGTGGCATTATCCACTCAGGCTTCTTGTATCCTCAGAAGAACCTGAGCTCTCCGGTACATTCACGATCACCAGGGGCCAGTGCCCCCAGGGGTTCCCAGCTAACCTGCTGATACTTACAGAGGCCCATACTCCAGCTACCAGAGGAAACACACCCTTAGGGTTACTGTTATGAGACTTTTAGTCAGGATAGTGAAGTTTAATTAATGCAGGAAATCCTTTCTTGTGTTCCAAACATACAGAAATACTATTTATAATACAACCACCACCAAAAACAGTTTTTAATAGATAGCCAAGCTTGAAATTTAGAAAGGCAAATTCCTAGGATCCAGAAATAAAAAACTCCAAACTAGCATGGTGAACAGATATTTAAAAAAAAAAAAAAAAGGCCCATAGGACATCAGGCCAGATATACACCCACAGGCCTGGGGTTTTAATGCTAGTCCTGGAATGGAGTCTGAGGTCTCTGAAGTAAGCCTGCCTCTCCTATCCAGTGACTTTAGACCATGTGGCAGAAAAGCTACCTACTAAAAGGTGAAACCCTTTACCTGTGCCATGTAAAAAATACCCAGAAACTTGAGGGGGAAGGTATAGCTCAGTGGTAGAGTGCATATTTAGCATGCACGAGGTTGTGGGTTAAATCCCCAGCACCTCCGTAAAGGGAGGGAGGAAGGAAGGAAGGAAGGAAAGAACAAGCCAGTGTTGCTGTGGCTCCCAGCAAGATCTTTCAGTTACATGGAATATAAAAACTCACTGAAAATAATAAACCATCAATAATAAGAACAGAAGAGAGTTAAAAAAAAAACAAACCCACAAAGTGATCCAGAATTACCAGCATGAAACTTAAGATCCTACGCAGAAGCTTTTGGACGACTGACATATAGAAACGTGTGTATAGCCCAGGCTACTTAAGACTCCATGGGAAACAATCTTGCTGAAGACAAGTTGATGATAAAAACTAAAAAGCGGGCAAGGAAACAGTGCTATGAGGGAAAGCCAGCAGACACAACTGGTAGAGAATTCAGAAACCACAGATCATAGTACAATCGAAAAGGGACTTTAAGTGCATATAAAATGTTCTAAGAAATAAATAGGGGCTAGAGAACAGAAACCATAAGCCAAAGTAGACATTATGAAAGCAGAGGCGGCAGATTTGAAAACGAGAAATGATTACTAATAACGAGGTTATTACGACACACAGATACCAGTACTTTCTTTTGGGCAAATTTTAGTCATTGGAATTGTATAACCACAACCTGTACTTTCACTTGAAATAGGAATGGAATTTGCCAGTGTTGACAAATGCGATAGCAAAATTATACTATGTAAGCTTAGTAAACATTCTTTTCCCTTAAGGAAATCTGACAAAACACATGAAGTCCAAGACACATAGCAAGAAATGTGTGGATTTAGGCGTCTCAGTAGGTTTAATAGATGAACAAGATACAGAAGAATCAGGTAAGGCTTTATTCCATATTTTTCATAAATGCTATTTACAATGTACTTTTTTTTGCATCCATACTCTTCTTTCCATTCCCACTAATGCTCTCAGTTCCTGTTTTCATTACCTCTTATTTATACTATGTGATAGACTCCTAAACAGTTTTCCTGTCTTTACTTTGTCTTCCCTCCTTTCCATCTCTTCCCCACTGATGTTAAGTTACTCTTCCTGAAGCATGTCTGATCATCCTGCTCCCTGCTCCGGGTCTTCCCTTGGTTTCCATTTGCCGACCAAATAAAGTTTGAGCTCTTGCCCTTACTTCCTCAAATTCCTTTATAATCCGATGCCTACCTACTTCTTCCGCCTTATCCCTCATTTCTCTCTTCCACCGGCCCTAACGCTTGAATGTCCTGCTCACCTGACCCTGATCTGGTTCTATCTACAACCCTCCCGGGAAGCCCCGCCCTCAGTCCCCACACAAGCGTGGCTCCCCGTCTGCTTTGGTCAAAATCTTACTTTCCTTCAAGATCTAGCTCAAATCCACTTGCTGTCATGAAGCCTTCTCTGATTTTTCCTTCCCGCACCAGTTGCGGGGAGAATTTTTCCCTTCTCTCAACACCTGTAATATTTTAGAGTTTACTCTCTGAAAGTATTGAATCCCTTTCTGCCTCTTTTTTTGTTTGTTTTTGTTTGTAATTTATCTGCTTACCTTACCTCCTTGCTGAGGTTCTCAAGCATATTATGAGCAGAAGTGATGACTGAGTAATACTTGCTTCATGTGTAACCCTTAGTTCAGCACCTTCCACCGAGCGGCTGCTCCGGAAATATTTGCGGAACAAAACATTCGTTTGTGTCCCCAAAATGTTTATTATTTTGAAAAAGTTAACTGGTTGTTTTCTTAACTCAACAAATAAAATTATTTATCTCTTAACCAATTTTGAGGGAAAGGAAACCTGTTCCTCTGTTCTGACTAATCAGACAAAAAGAATTATCTTTTGGTAAGACTTTTTGTTTCAACCTAAGAATTTATCAACGGAAGAGATAAATTTAAAAAAAAAAGTTGTCCTACTGCTTTTTTGAAAAATATCCTAAATTAAACATTTACCTTCTTGCTGTGTTTTAGTTAGTATGTCCTAGTTTGATGGAGAAAAAAAATCCAAAGAGAAAATGGTGAGGACATCATTGAAAATATAGGCAAAAAAATTAGGTGCTTTTAATTCCACCTGACAACCAGTAGCAAACTAAACGAATCAGCCTGAATTTGTTTCTAAATATTCAAGAGAAGTGACTCACATCTTAAGTGTTACAGTTGATACGATTTAGTATTTTAAGCACAAGGAAAAGACTGCCTTTAATTTTGGGGAATAAACTTGATGTGTTCTTAACACAAGGAAAAGATAATCATAACAAACTTAGGACAGTAAGGAGGCTTTTCATGTTTTATAGACACTTTGATGCTTTTGATACATATTGGGGATGGCAGTACCAGGATGTAAAGGTACATCATCAAATTCACATACGGGTAACTTTTCTGTCCTAGGAACATATTTATTAAAAGCTGATTCTTGAATTGCTAGGAATTGAATTCTGTGTTGGTGTCTTTGTGTAAAGACACTTACACATTTAATAAAATTAATTTACCTAATAATTCTAATGTAAATAGTCTGTTTATTTTCTGCTCTTAGTAATCATGCACTAAATTAACTACCATACTATTTAAGTGGAAAAAAAGCCCTCTATTATTTATTTGCTTTATTGCTATTATGTTGAGCAATTCAGAATTGAAAAGTTAGGAAAAATGAGTAGCGGTTTCAGTGAGAGTATTTATTACCTGCAGACTAGAAAAAGCCCAAGTAGAGGGTATAATATGAAATGACTCATTTCTGAAAAACATATAAATGTAAAAAGTATTACGATTATATATACTCTTAGGTGTTTTAACTTAAGAAAATGAATCTTACAAAATATTAAGTAAAATGTCTGTAGAATCTTCTCAGTTGCCCAGGTAGTGTTACACCCCACGTTTACACAGGAGAACTAAGGTTGTTTCCATGAAGGATCGTGCACTGTTCAGACTGGCTGACGGACGGACTTACATACCTGTCCACTCACTTTGGTTGTTTCTCATCTCATTGCAGAAGCACTCAGAGCAGATCTTAGGTTATAATTCAGACTGGAGCTTAATTCCCAGTTCACGTGAGATCCTCTGGTAACACTGGGTAGTTCCAACCGTTTTTCTCTGTTTAATTTTTTTTAATTACTGAATTTAGCCTTAGTGCACTCAAAGTTTTTTCACAGTTTTTATCAACTTGTAGCATAGAGGTGGCTTTTGCCAAGTACTGTGTCATACCAGAGGCCGCATAATTCTTTATGATATGCCAACAAAATATATTCCTCCATTGCTGCTCTATTACAGGCTTGGAATGTAGACATAAATGTGGTAAACGTTTGTCGTTCTAAACAAATGGTCTTGTTTTCCCTTTATTATTGTCTTTTCTGCTTTTAAAAGATTCTGAGGTTTTAAATACCAGAAAATGATGAAGACTTTTATTACATGCACTCATGTATTCACACCAGACTTGGTGATTACATTTTCTTGAATGTGCTTCAAGTCTTTTTCATAAATTCATTGTATTTTGGGGGGAAAAAAAAAGCTAAGTAAGGCATTTCACGTTAGGTGCAGTCCAGTCACTCCCCCTCCCGGGGCAAACACTAACTGCGCTTAGTGCAAACGTGCATGTCTCCATCCGTGCATAGCATGAGTTTTAAGTTTGTATTCTGAATTTGCATAAATAGTACCACCTGGTATGTGAGTATCTAGAAAATTCATTTTGCTTTATCGTTTTAAATTGTTCTCCAGAACAGTTTCTATTTCTGTACCTCCTTAACTATATTCTATGAATTGTAGTTTAGGGCCAAGTTGAAGGATGATAGTCTGCTGTCTTATGTTTTCTTGATGACTGTCCTAAGGTTGGAAATTATTATTCTTTGGGAAGAAGTTTCACTCCATTAAATTGATGATCATTAGAGATGGGATCTTGCTCAGCAATTCTTCACATACCTATGTGGAGGGAAAGCCGAGAAGCCTGCAGTGTGGTGCTGTGTGTTTGCAGGGTGTACTGTCTTTTCGTCTAACGCTAGCCTGGGGTACACGAGGTGTTCTTTTTCACTCTCTTGACTGGCTCCTCCTCATCTCCCCAGCCTCTAAGCATGGTGCCCAGGGCTGTGGTCTTAAATTTCTCATCCTTTCTGTCTATACCCCTTCCCTAGGTAATCTCATCCAGACTTCCGACTTTAACCACCATCTGTGTGACGATGATTCCAGTATTCACTCTGCACCTGCACGTCTGTCTGCCTCCTCACCATCTCCACTCGGATGTCTAATAGGCACCTAGAGTCCGATGTGCCCCAAACCCCTGGTTTACCCGTTACCTCTAAGAAGCACACTTCCCCTACGGTCTGCCATCCTTCCAGCTGCTAGACCAAAAATCTTGAACTCTTCCTTGATGTCCTTTGCCTCTCATCCACCAGTAAAAGCTCTGGCTCTCCCTTCTAAGTGTATTCAGAAGGCAACCGCTTTGAACCACCTCTGCCATCCAGCACTGGTCAGGGTGCTGTCGTGTCCTCTAAGTTGCAAGTTGCTTGCAGTAGCCCCTGACTAGTCTCCATGGTTCAACTGCTGCCTCTTCATGGACTGCTTTCAACACAGCAGCCAAAGTGGATTTTAAAACCTATGTCTTCACTTTGTTCAGAACCCTCCACCGGTTTCCTGTCTCATTCACAGCCGTGGTCTGCTGCGAGCTGTCGGCCCACCCCCTTTGCCCCCCACCGTCTCTGAAACCCAGTCCCTCTCCTCCCCTGCTCACTCAGCTGCAACCACACTGAGCTCCCTGCTTGGCCCCTGTCTCGGGCCATTTCTCCTTTCCTCTCTGGAGTGCCTCCCAACAGATACTGCAAGACACCCTACCATCTCTGCAGGGCTCCACTCACGACGATCGTCCCTGATCACTGAGCTCTTCCTGACCCTCCCTTGGGAAAAAGCGCCCCATTCTCTTCCTGCCAGGTTGTACTGACACCCTTCTGCTTTATTCTTCTATATAGCACTTACCAGCACCAGGTGTGCGTGGATGCGCAAGTGTATGGTTGTTTGTTATCTGTTCCTTTCAACTAGAAAATAAAACATAAAGACAGGGAGCTCTGTCTCCAGCTCTTGCTAAAACCGTAGCTTCAAGCAGTAGATGGTAAACAGCTGTTGACTGAATGGATGACTGAAAAAAGATGACCTATAACTTAAAAGGAAATAATTCAATATTGTTATTTTTGGAATTTGATGTATGAGTTTTCCATTAAATTCCTTCACTAAAATTAAGTGGCAGCTATAATAACAGTATTTAATGTCCTCATCTGTAGTGTTTACGTGATTTGACCGTGGTCGATACAGGTGTTGTCAAAGTGATGCTGGGCATGTGTTAGTTAATTTGTTATTTTTTGATTATTAGGTCAGAAGACTAGAAGATATTTTAGGTTATTCTGACTATTCTGTTTTTCATCCTCAGTAATGATCTGTCCAGATTAAGATCTTTTCTGTTTTTCAGTAGTTCCAGAGAAGAGTTTATTCTCTTTTAGATTGATTCATGTATTTATTTAGCATCTCCGTGGTTCAGTATATGCACAGTTCCTGCCCCAGGAGCTCCTCGCCCGCAGCTGTGAGGTTGGAGTGAGCTCGACGGGGTTCACTCCCTAAGGCTGGGATGACAGAGTGTATCCTGGGGGTTGGGGAGGGATGTATTTGTTCATACATTACTTTGTTTGAAAAAGTATTGATGAGGAGGGGTGGGGTACGGGAAGGCAAGCGGTTTGGACAGAGAGAGTTGTTTGGGCAAAAGCCCAGTGGCCGGGAGAGGAGAACTGGCATTAAGAGTGTGGGTGGGGCAGGAGAGAGTGGACAGGGCGCATGCCCAGATGGGCTGGGGGACGTGCATACTATGCAGAGAGTTAGCACGTTCCTTTAAGAAAG